AAAAAAAAAAAAAGTTAAACATATACTCACTGTATGACCCAGCAATCCCCTCTCCCCACAGACAGCTACCCTGGAGAAATGAAAACGTATGTTCACACAAAAATCTATACACAGATGTTTACAGCAGCTCTACTCATAACTGCTAAAAACTGGAAACAATCCAAATATCCTTTAATAAGTGACAATGGAAAACTACTCAGCAATAAAAAAAGAATAAATTTGCAATACATGTAATACCTTAGATGAATCTGAAAGAATAAAAGAGCCCAGTCTCAAAAGCTTAACAGGGTATGATTCCATTTGTATTATATTCTCAAAAAGCCAAAACTATAGGGATGGAAAAAGGTCAGTGGTTGCAGGGGTGATGGAATGGGGATGGATAACTACACAAGTAGCGCATGAGGGAGTTTTCTGGGATGACGACAGTGTGTATCCTGACTGTGGGAATGTCTGCAAAAACTATACATGTTTTAAATTGAAAAATTTTTATTACCAAAAGAAAAAAGCCACTTTCACAGTATGATAATTTCAAAGTAAAATTTTAAAATTACTTTTAAAATATAAATCGCAATGTCACAATTAACATGTTTTTTAAAAACTGGAAATAGATACAGAAGGGTAAGTGTTGTTAATAAATGAAAAACTTCTACACATTTCCCTTTCCATGCATGTACGTTTTAGAGGCAAGAATGGAGGCTCAGAAAGAATATCTCCAAATAGAGCAATCACTGAGTTCACTTGGCACAAAATATAGGATACTTCTGAAGAATTCCATCATCGCTAAGTAATCTGTTCAGGACCAAAAGTAAATATTGGAAGAAAAATGCAATCAACAGTGCACCACAAAGGTGGTAGGTAGACAGGCCTGGACTAAGACATCTTCAGTAATAGATGATAAAAAGGAAGGTGATTTTTAAAAGCATCATTCTTTTCCCACTGTGGACTTCTTTCTGTAACAGTATAAGAAAGACCACCATGAAATCAAGTCATGAAATGTATTTTATTGTAAAAAAAAAAAAAAAATCAGTTATCTTCCCTAAATTAACTTTTCTTGTTAATGTAGTTATGTTCCTCCTTCATTTCAAAAGAGGTAAAGCTTATTTGACTACAGACAGACTTCAAAAAAAATAAACTGTGACCAACAGCAGGAGCCAATGGTAGTAAATAAAATTTCCTCAATCTAAATTGAAGATGATTTCTATACTGTCTTATACATTTGTTTCCATCAGAAACAAAAAAATTATCTTCCTCATAATTAACTTAGGTGGAATGAATCGGACAGCATTTGTCAAGATTTGCGAAGACTGATGATGAGTTTTGCTGGACATTAGAACTATCCACTCACTAACAGCCATAATCGGGTCTTGATTAGACTCCAAGTTGTCCTTAATTATTTTTTTTTTTAAAGATTTTATTTATTTATTTGAGAGACAGCAAGCACATGAGAGGGGGGAGGGTCAGAGGGAGAAGCAGACTCCCTGCTGAGCAGGGAGCCCGATGCGGGACTCAATCCAGGGACTCGATCCAGGGACTCCAGGATCATGACCTGAGCCGAAGGCAGTCGCTTAACCAACTGAGCCACCCAGGTGCCCCAAGTTGTCCTTAATTATTAAGTTACATAAACAATAAAACCATAGGAAAACTTAAAAGACACATACAATAAAATACATAAGTTTCTTTACATGACTAACAAAACGAAAATTTAAAGGAAGAATTGCTAGGAAAAAATTAAGAGATTCACTTTTTTTACAAAGTCAGTAATTTGCCTTTAATCTGCCTCATGCATTGTTATTTTCCCTGTGGAAACTCTATTATTCTGAAAACAAGACTCTTCTGGAAAGTAAATGTATTGTGACAAAAGAAGAAAAGCCAGATTGATACAGTATTAAAATAACCCATATGACCTAGCCCAGTGGATTAAGGAAAGCATATCAGAGCATGCCCCGTTCTCCAGACTCAGCAGCACAGCTGTGGGGGGACAGTGACGCCACTAGAAGGGTGTCATGCTTCCTCAGGGACACAAAAAGTTAAGAACCATTACTCCAGGGCGCCTGGGTGACTCAGTTGGTTAAGCGACTGCCTTCGGCTCAGGTCATGATCCTGGAGTCCCGGGATCGAGTCCCGCATCGGGCTCCCTGCTCGGCAGGGAGTCTGCTTCTCCCTCTGACCCTCCCCCCTCTCATGTGCTCTCTCTGTCTCATTCTCTCTCTCTCAAATAAATAAATAAAATCTTTAAAAAAAAAAAAAAAGAACCATTACTCCAGAGGTGGCATGGTGGTTCTGAAATGCCTATAAAATAATGTCCAGGCTCATTACCAGATGTCCAGGCCACCCACAGCCTGGCTACAGCCTAACTTTCCCACCACTCCCAAAGGACAGTCAGGCTTCTGAGTCTCTGACAATGCCCTTCCCACTGCCTGAATGTCCTTTCCCTCCTGTCTCTGAACCTAACTCCTACTCAGCTTTAAATGAATGCTCCCAGACTTAACTTTCCTAAAATGTTCTCCCTCCCAAACCATCACTACTTCCTATAGAATGATTTGGCCTCTTAATCATTTATTATTTTGAATTAAATATATAAGATGTTTTATCTGCCCACACAACCATCTTATAAATAGGGGTCATATTTTATATCATTTATATCCCCAAGACAACAATTCAATTCACTAAAGCCATTCAGTAAATACTTTAATTGAATTTCCCAAAGAGATGGCCTAAAATAACCTGAATGCCAAGCATTCCAAGAACTGTCCTGTACAAAATTCAGTACTCATTAGAATTCCAAGTCATAAAGAGGAATATTGTGTTATCTTTAAATTTATCTGCTTTTATCCAAAACTGGAATCTGTCATGGTTCTATGGGATACAAAGGCAAAATATTCTGCAAAGTAAAGAAAATTTTATTCACTGTACTGTATTTAATATTTACCCAGACTTGCATTTTTCTCTAAAACTCTTATAAAATCTCTGAGCATGCAAGAAGCATTAGATGAGCGACTCAGCCCACTGAGAAGAAAACTAGAAACTAAAATCACTCATATTGCATTTTGAATAATCTCTTTCATAAAGAGGTAAATTCTCTTTATGAAAAAGGTAAATTCTCTTTATGAAAATTATGAAAATCTTTATGAAAAATTGCAGAATGCATGAAATTCAATAGCAAAGTAAAATGTTTTAAGTACATAAAAGAAATATCCTAATGGACCTTCCACCATCTGTCTTAGTAACTAAAATGATAAAAACAAGAAAAACTAAATTTTAAAAGTTGTATCAACAGCTAAAATTGAGGGGTTTTTTTCCATCTATTAGTCTGACTTTTCTTGACCCATAGTTTAGAATTGCCAGCAATGCTGGAAACAGCCTTCTTTCAATAATTCCAAATTATTTCTTGAAAAGTTTGAGTCTCCTCTCAAATCATCTAACATGCCTACTAATCTATAAAAAAATATACATTTAAAAACCCATATTTATGAAGCAATCAAATTAAAAGACTGACTTTCTAGAAAAGGTTGCTACTTGCAAAGAAAATGTTTTTACTAAAAAACATTTTCTATTCTTTGTATTTCTTTATTTTCCCTTTTAGATTATCTGTGGAGACTTGTAAACACATCATAATCCCAAACAGTTGAGCTTTTTAAATAAAACATAAATCGATTTTAAAAAAAGCCAACTGCATAATTAAAACAAAATGGTACCAC